AAGTTGGGACAAACATACATGGAGAAGGAGTACATGTATAAGGACAGCTGCTGCAGAGTGACGCTATGACACATGCGCACTCAGCCCTACCCAGATCAGACGCCAAGTCCCCTACACGTGTCTACACCCCATCTCACTCACGCAGACCTCGTTAACTATCAAAGGATTTACACCTGATAAAAAGGTGTGTCAACTTAACGCTTTACTTGTTGTACCTGACTACGCATTCCCTCCATAAACCTGTACCTTTGTGGTATTGAATGAAATAGTATCTGGATACTTACTTTATGATCGGGAAATTGATGTGTTAATTTTTACATCTCAACATGAGTTTCCTCAATAGACAGGTGTATCATTCTTGCCTGTATGCTCTCAGGAACTTATCTAGGATACCAAACTTAGCGCCCTTGGCAGGTAAATAGGGATAAAATTGTCCTTTTGTTCAAACTTGTACTTTTAAAGTGGGAAATGTTTTTAATTCTAATTTGGGAATTATTATTAACATCTGCAGCAGACTTGGGGCCAAATGTCGGCCTCTGAGCAGGTCTCGATAATTCCATGGCCCTCTTGAAGTGATATGTTTTTCCCTGCAAGTTAAGTCACAGCAAGACTTTGAAATAACAAAATATGAAAGACAACACTGGAATTGTAAATATATGGCCATCAAATTATCCTACATCAAGGCACAACAAATATTTGGCATGTGATTACTATCATTAAAACCATTTGCCAGCGTTAAGTGAAAAATCCACAAAGACATCTGTCAAATATGTTTCTCAGAGAATAAAAACTTCCAATTTCTCGCAAAAAATATTCCCTTCTGACAAACAGATCAGGTATTGTATGTTCAACAAATGTCCAATGGACAGTTATAATATTTACAACAAATAATACAAATGAAAATATTTAACACATCAACAAACAGAAAAACTGCCATGACACTCAGTCCAGCATTTACAGAATTTTCTGTTTGTACTTTTAGCATCTGAATAACCATAACACTGATTTTGGACAATAGAAATGGCTGCCAAAATGTCAGCTACCGAATTCAATCAGTATAATCTGTCTGTACAAATGAATTTGAGAAATCAACAATGGTTCCACTGTTTATTAGCAGCTTGTGCCGATATTTGTCACCCAGGTGTCTGTTTTCTCGGCTAATTCCTCTCAGCCTAAAATCCACAAAACGATTTGCTTTAGACCCATCCTAGCTCTTCGGTTCAGAAGTCAAAATATACCTGCTTTGCACAACTTGCTGTTGAGATGGCACGATCCAGTGTTTACGATCAACGGGCAAATTCTACATTTTTAGGCGGATGTTTATTTTTCACTTAAATCAGATCAGGTGATTTTTCTTTTTGACATGCAAGGCTATTTCATTTCATGTCTGGTTACGAAAGACGAGAAAAAGTCAGAACCACCAATCAATGCATGGATGACAATTTTGAATTCAAACTTGAAACTGTGTCTCTTGAAAATACGTTTTGAATGAATTTAGTTCATTGAATATCTTATTCTTTAGCCATAAGGTGAAAGACAAACAAACCAGATTACGAATATCAAACATGTTCTACCGTAATGTTTACTTTTCTATGCAACTGAATGTTTTTGTTATTACAAACAGAAACCATTAGCTGTTGCACAGCTAGACGCAGATGGAAAACAGTACATTATTCAGGGAATAGAATATGACATGTGGCAGTCATGAATCTAATGCACAGCCAAAGCATAAATTTATCAATTCATGTGAAATGAAGCATATAGAAACTGATCATCACGTTGAAGTCTCGTGAGTTCCACACAATGGTATGACTTTATAGGACGAAGGCTGGTAACTGATCCAACCTGGACCACAAAACAAGTGGTTGACAGCATGAGCAGAGATCTATGTCATACAATGATACATAAGGTCACCATAGTCTGTCTCCCTGACCCTAGAAGATAAACTACAAAATCAATCCAACTGATGTCTTGGTTGCCTCGTCTCTAGAATTTAGGCATTGATCTTGGCTCAATTAGGATGGGATTTTTAATTTTGTAGATATATTTTTTTTATAAATAATTAAAGATAACTATTTTTGGGACTAACTGTTAGACTAGGTCACACATTCCAACAATCAAAACCCCCATTTAGGGTGGCATGGTGTCAAAAATTTGATACTGGGAATCCACTCTTTCCTCATCTGTGAGTTATAAGTCTGTTATGATATTCTATTCATTATTCATACTAATATGTAAAATAAGTAATATTTTATAGACTTCTGCCTGAGATAAAGTTATAAAAAAATGAGCCTATGGTCACTAAAGATGTGAAGCAGCTGTGTCTTTAGAGTGAGTGAGTGAGTTGGGTTGTAATAGTATTAAAGTTAATAATATCAGTTGATTGTGGGAGGAGAGCCCAAAGTGAAGCAGTTCCGAGATTGTTTACCACTTTGTTGAAATTCATGAGAACAGGTATGGTGCTGACAAACCTAGAAAAATAATCAGGGTGAACCATGGTTCAAACCCACAAGCCTAGGTGTTTTTAGAACCCACTGATGAAGTCAACTCACACCATCAAACATAATGTACTGAAATGACATCACTTTATGGGCTGCATCGAAACAATCAACAAAATATGTGACCCACCAGGAGAAAAGGGACCTTACGGGTGCTACGATACAATTGTGCTGTCACGTCATGAAGGATGATTGAAATACACTTACTGTATTCGACGTAATAAGCGCCTAGGGCGCTCTCAAAATTAGGAATATTAGAATATTATTTTGGTGAAAAAAAACAGAGTTGAAAGATAAATTTTGTGGTTTAAGCTGACAACCTGAAATGTTTATGTACGACAGATATATTTTTCCAGAATTAAATTGCCAATAATTAAGGATGCATATAACACACAAGTGTGTATCATACGCGAATAAATAAGTCTTGTCTACATTGATCAGTTGGAAGGGGTGCTAATTGGGATTGTTCACTAGCCAATATATTAACAAATATGGCCCTGGGCGCTTATTGGAGCGGGGCGCTTATTACATCGAATACGGTACTTCTGTAAAAATCGACAAATGTGCAGACTGTTAAAAAATATGTTATTTTTCTCTCGTCAGTTTGTAATGTCATGAAAACGTTATTTCAAAACATTTCAGCATACATCTCTACGTTCATTTAATCAGACATTATATCTAAAAATGTTATAACATGAACAGTTATAAGTCTGAAAATGAGACTTTGCAGAGAATGATCCAAATGTTTGATGCCATGAATCTCTGTAATAAATATAAATTGAAGCTTGTGAATTGTATTTTTTGTGTTCCTAAGAGATCATAGTTTCAAAATGTAATGAGAAATCACCAAGTGACATTTCATCATAAGGTTTCTAATCTCAGGGTTGATCACATATTGATTGGCCACTTTACATAAACATAACAAAGCACCAGTGACAATTACAGCATACCTTCCAAGAAAACGGACATCTCAGACTGGACTGACCTACCAGTTAAAGCTCTAACTATCAGACCTTCTGAAGATTAAACTTGTACCTTAGGCGCCACATCAAAACCATATACCTGACATCAACAGAAACTGTTTTCAGTCTTACGGTGTGTGTGTTTATGGCTTCCTTCAACTGATGACATCGACGTGAAGGAAAGGATAGTGCTTGTACTTAATGAGACTGAACATCATTACTGTTTCATGAGAAAGTCATAAAAAGTTTCACTCCTTTGGCTCATAAAATCTGTAAGAAGCAAATAACAAGTAACAGAGGTCTGGGTTTCATGAGACAACAGTTTCATAGGCTTCACTAACTACATTGAACAGCCTTAAATAATTCATTAATTGAACACTTAACCGTAATTACCTTCCAGCTTTATAAGAGTACTCCACAAAGCCTTTGTTAGCAATAGTGCACGGCCTCATGATTTTCTATTGTGTCCTGTGTTGTATTTACTCATTTTCTACTTGTCATACATATCTAAAATTGTCCCAAGTGATCTGACGACAGCGGTACTTCTTACCTAGTGGAACTCTTACTTTGTGAATCTGATTAATCTGATACTTGCTTACATAACGTTCATGATGGCTCGAACAAACATACTGACACATAAAGAAGCGAGTTTAGGAAAACCCTCTTTGTTGTGCCAGAAGAATGGAAAGATGGCACAACAAAGAATGATCATGGTATATTTGACCATGAGGTGAGGTGAAATGGGGTTTAAAGTCATGTCCAAGATTATTGCACTTATATAGCAACGTGTGTGTGTGTGTGTGTGTGTGTGTGTGTGTGTGTGTGTGTGTGTGTGTGTGTGTGTGTGTGTGTGTGTGTGTGTGTGTGTGTGTGTGTGTGTGTGTGTGTGAGAGAGATATGCCGATTTATAGTGCTAGCTCAGAGAGATACCATGCCGCAGTTTAACATGAATACCACACTCAGACACAGTATACTAACTCCGAGCTAACTACTCCTTGTTTTAGCCCCTTAATGCCGAGCGGCAGGCATGGTAACAACAAGTACCATCTTTTTATGTCTTTTGGTATGACGCGGCCGGGGATCGAACCCCGGACTTTCCGCTCTCCAGGAGGCGGTCTTATTTCAACATGAGAACGGGGGCACAGTTGATGCAGTTGTCTATGGAGCATCAATTTGCACCACTTAAGCATGCCAGAAACCTAGGATCTTGATTCCAATCCAGATTTGCTCTGTTTGTGTTTCAAGGTTTCTCAGAACCATATCCAACCTTGTGGGTTTCACCGAAGTGGTAAACGTCTGCGACCTGCATCACTTCGGGCCTTCCTCCCACATTAAGCTATCGGCACTCGCTGTCATATAAGTGAAATAGTGTTCATAGCAGCATCAGACCCAAGTCACTCACTCACTCAAGTCAACATGGGAGTCAAACCTAATTCATATTCCAGATGAGTAGGAGCATAATGTAACAAAAAACCCAACCAGTCTAGCTGAGTGAACACCTGACCCACTACACTGGTGTGTAGTGAAATTGGTGTTTTACCTTTGGATTGTTCAGTTCCTCCTCTAGCCGACACTGCCACTCTAGCGACTGCAGCCACACCCCATGCCAACGGTGCTCCAGGCCTGTTGCAGTGTGCGGGGAGATGGGGGTGTAGTGGTCGTCGTCTGTGTCAATGTCACCGTTAAAGCTCTCATCGTTGTTTATTCGCTGACTCAGCTTGACCACTGCTGACACCACCTTCGACTGTGACTCAATGTCCCGCTGCAGAACCTGAAACAGAGCAATGATATAATTAAATTACAATTTACAACCATTCCAAATTACCATGTAGAGAGCTTTAACCTCATTTTAAAAAAGCAATACAAATATGATGAAATGAAATAACACTGAAGGGGCATTTCAGTATTCAAAAAGAATGACATACTCTTCACAATGTCAATAAAGTTGTCATTTTTCTGATTGAAACAAATATGAAAAAAGTTTAATATAAATTTGCATTCGTGTTAGCTGAAGACCTTGTAATGTCATCTCGGGCTAACTGGAGGATAAAGGCAACACTAAATTCATTAAATGTTGAAAAGCGTCCATGATGATATATTTTGTCCATGAAGGATCACCAAGGGATGATAATACCCCCAATGCCCTATTCTACAAAAACTCAACAGTATCAGTACTTCAAAGGGGTCCCAAAACTCTCATAGAGACCCCTCGTCTCTTTGGTTGAATCTCAACCTTTTGAACCCTAAACTTTGTAAACAAATACTTTTATTATACAACAAAAGAATTTTCAACCAACACACTGAATTTCACAACCTGGTAAAATTCTCCAATCTGTCAGGTTTCTAACAAACATTTGTCACATCAGCAAATAATTACAGCATACATTTCCACTCTTTTCGACTTGGCATGTTTGACTATATTAACACACATCTACCACACTGAATACAAAGCAAACACAAGAGTGTTGAATCCATTCCACACCTATGTAAATGCTATGCCACAAACTCCTGAACCAACAGCTCTCTATCTGACATATGCAACGATCTTCAGAGAAAAACTTTGTATCCAATCAAACCAGGCTGTTTATATCAAGGTGTAAATCCTTCTCAATCTTCACACTGGCAATAACTGTGTTAGTAGTCCTCGATTCTTCTCTTCAAATCAATAAAGAATATTCGCCAACATTGGCCTCAGGTATAGCATGGCACACACAAAACTGAAGACAACAGTCTGAAAATCATGACCAGTAAATATTTGTGCATTGTAGCGGCCCAGTGGCCTCCCCTGGTGGTCACACACAGACGAGAGGTCTGTGTTGGGACAGGCAGGTTCCCCAGTACACTCTCAAGGTTCTTGAATGTAATCAATGTTCTCCAATAGCTGAATCCCATTGTATAAATATGCCTTCTGAAAAAGGGAAATACCTAGACCATCAATAGTTATCGATCGGTCCACATTCACTCCTTCACTTTCTGCAGATGTCAACCATACCAGATGTAGGGGTGTTCGCGAAATATGTCAAGAGTTGACAAAAAATATACAACAATCCTCACACCTGGGTTACGACCTTGACCTTGTCACCTTGATGCTAATCTGACATCCAGTACTGTTATACATTGTAACATTGTTGCATGTATCTATCAAAGTGTAGTCTGGAAGATCTCCTTTCTTCAACCTGTGTCAGATTACTTGTGACGTATATCTGTCAGATGATTAAAATGACCTGTTCTCCATGAAAACACTGCCAGATCATGGACTTGTTCTCCAAAATGATATTAGCCCTATGACTAACACAGATATAATAATATTAATTACAAAGACCCTTTACCATACTAACTGAAGCAGAATGACAATATTTACTTGATCAAAGTTCCTTGTGGCCCAGATTTGAATCAAATAGAGCCCTAAATTTAAGTTCCATTTTGAAAAAAACTTCATAAAAATAAGGATACTTATACTGATACTGTAAGTAACACACCTACCAATAAAGCGAGGTCCAAGATTATTGCACTTATATAGCGATGTGTGCATGCACGCACACACGCTTGTACTTGTCCGGACTGATGCCGATTTATAGTAATAGCTCGCTGAGATACCATGCCGCAGTTTAACATGAATACCCTACTCAGACACAGTACTGACTCTGGAGCTGACCAGTCCTTGTTTTAGCCCCTTAATGCCGAGCGACAGGAAGGATAACAACAAGTACCATCTTTTGGTATGACGCAGCCGGGGATCAAAACCCCAGATCTTCCGCTCTCCGGGTGGACACTCTACCACTAGGCCACAGAGGAGGTCATCTACCAATACACAAGACCCGTGAAGATCCAGGGTAGAACAGGCCTTCAGCAACCCATGTCTGCCGTAAAAGACCACTAACGGGATCGGGTTGTCAGGCTCGCTGACTTGGTTGAGCATATCATCGATCCAAATTGCGTGGATCGATGCTCATGATATCAATCACTGGATTGTCTGTGAGTCTCGATTATTTACAGACCACCGTCATATAGCTTGAATATTGCTATGTGCGGCGTAAAACAACCAACCAACCAGACAATAAACAAACACACAAAGGTAATGAAACTAATCAAAATTGACGTGACTCTAATGCATGCTCACCGTCCCTACTGAACTCTTGATATAAAGACGACTGCTGTATTGGTAATGCTATTGCAGGATAAGTACCATAAACATCTCAGCTTGTTACAAGAGACTGCCATCCTACAGGAAACATCACTTAACCTTGACACTAGACGCTCAACAAGCCACAACACTCACCATGATAAATTTTCCATGTTGAGATATAATATATGATGATATAATTCTACGATTGACATGCGGGGGTATCCAGGAAGCTTCTCAGTGACAGATGGGACTCTGACACAGAGAGGAATTGCACTATGCCATGTGGTAGATCTACATGACGAATCACCGGCTAATACGAGGATTCTCTGTACAACACTAGCTAGTGGCTTACAGGAAATTTGCATTTAAAATGTCAACCTTTTCTGTCTTGATCCTGAATTACATACATAATATTATATGTTATGTGCTCTTATGAAAATCTTTCGTCATCTTCTTTGATAACATCTATTCTATCTGTGATAAAACATTGATTTATTTCAGTTCCCATTGTCAAATGTTTGTATGTTAACAATTGCTTAAGAAACAATCGGTTTGCAAATGTCATTAGAAGATTGAAAACAAGTTACATATTGCAAAAACAGGAACATAGAAAGTGCGACTGAGACAGGGAACAAACGGTTTGACACAGAGACAGGGAACAGAGAGTGTGACACAGAGATGGGGAACAAAGAGTGTGTCACAGAGACAGGGAACAGAGTTTGACACAGAGGCAGGGAACAGAGTTTGACACAGAGATTGGGAACAGAGAGTTTGACACAGAGACAGGGAACAAAGAGTGTGACTGAGACATGGAACAAAGAGTTTGACTGAGACAGAGAACAGAGTTTGACACAGAGACAGGGAACAGAGTTTGACACAGAGACAGGGAACAGAGTTTGACACAGAGACAGGGAACAGAGTTTGACACAGAGACAGGGAACAGAGAGTTTGACACAGAGACAGGGAACAGAGAGTTTGACACAGAGACAAGGAACAAATAGTTTGTCACAGAGATGGGGAACAGAGTTTGACACAGAGACAGGGAACAAAGAGTGTGACTGAGACAGGGAACAAAGAGTGTGACTGAGACAGGGAACAAAGAGTGTGACTGAGACAGGGAACAGGGTTTGACACAGAGACAGGGAACAAAGAGTGTGACTGAGACAGGGAACAAAGAGTGTGACTGAGACAGGGAACAAAGAGTGTGACAGAGACAGGGAGAGACAGGGAACAAAGAGTGTGACAGAGACAGGGAACAAGGAGTGTGACTGAGACAGGGAACAGGGTTTGACACAGAGACAGGGAACAAAGAGTGTGACAGAGACAGGGAACAAAGAGTGTGACTGAGACAGGGAACAAAGAGTGTGACAGAGACAGGGAACAAGGAGTGTGACTGAGACAGGGAACAGGGTTTGACACAGAGACAGGGAACAAAGAGTGTGACAGAGACAGGGAACAAAGAGTGTGACTGAGACAGGGAACAAAGAGTTAGACACAGAGACGGGGAATTGCTGTTGGTAGCCGTGGAGTCTATTCAGGGTAGAGACATCAAAGACGGCTTTGGCATTGAAAAATGAAGCAGTGCCAAACCCAAGTCCACAAAATGATATCGCTGGCCAATATCACTTTTCTCCAATCAATTAAAGGACATGGAATTGATAATTGCAGTCGATAGGAAGAACCTGTTTGGGTTAAACGCACGAACAATTCCTCATCACTGCAAACAAACCCAGCATTACTTTAGGAGATTTTCATTTCATTTTTTTAATTATTTTCACTAAAAGATCCCAGTTCTTGTTCCCTTTCTTGAACAAACTGTAACGTAAGATTTCCCTGAGGAGAGACATGTATGAAGCCGAAAGAATTCCTGTATTGATAAAAGTACACGTATCATGAGGTGTGAGTGTCTCATGCCACCCGTACTCCGTGACAAAAAAACAGCACTCTCACCTATTGCAGCGGGATGAAGGATTCATGCTTTGTTAATCTTACATGAAATACCCCAGCCTGCACACAGCATAGGACATTACAGAGTCAAGTTATGAGCACCCAACGTAATCTGGAAGCAAAGCAGACTCCCACAAGTAGCCTGGAGCAGGGATTAATCCTGTGCTCCACACGAGTTACATGATAATGCCTGATTAAAGATGCTATCAGGCAAGATCAATTGTATCAGAAATACCACACATGATCAGTGTTACACTGGACCAAGTTGCTGCAGTAAGTTGTGGGAGATTTTTCAACTATTTTCAGTTACATAAATGTTGTATTCATCCCATCATAAATGATATTGCCAACAACATTTAGTGATATCTATCAGCAGGAACACTTTTCACTTCTTGCACAATTTCACTTCTACATGTCACTTCAGGAATAGGTTTTAACATACAAATTTTGAGGATCGAACCTCTGTCTTCTACATGACAAGCCAACCACTTTTCCACAAGCCCACCCGACCATCCCCCTGGACTCCGACACAAGCAGATGGTGCTCAAGAACAAGCTGGTCAATTGCCATTAACCAGGGCAGATCTACGTAAATTATGCACATGTAGTTGTTACATTTAACAAACCCTGTCATGTATACTGTATGTAAGACAGTTTCAATGGTAAAATCTTCTTCGACAAGAAATTTGAAACACCTTC